AAGAGGTCTCAGCAAGTGTCCTCATAAAAAGACTTGAGAAAGTGAATTTGTTTCTTGTTGCCCCCTCTGCCATGTGAGGAGGCAGTGGCAAAGCACCATCTTGGAGACAGAGCCCAGGCCCTCCCTAGACACAAAACCTGCTGGTGCCTGGATCTTGGACCTCCCAGTGTACAGAACTGTGAGAAATAAATTTCTGTTACTAATAACCAATCTATGATTTTGTTTGTAACAGCAGGAATTGTCTGAGAGAAATACTGAATCTCTAGATTTGTGGTCTATGCCAGTTATCTGTATTTCTTCCACTTCAATCCTCTTCTAATCCTTTAACCTTTGGCTTTCATCCTCATGACTCTACTAAACTACCCACTCAGAGGTTATCAATGGTCTCTTTATTCCTCTATTCAATGTTCTACTCTCCATTCTCATCCTTTTTAATCACTCTAATTTAATAGTACTGACCATTTATTTTAAAGGTCTCTTTTTGTTGGCTTCCCTGATTCCATATGCTTTTACTAACCACTCTTTCTATTTCTCTTAATGAAGTATCTTCTGCTATCGAAGGGTAAGTAAGCCCTTCTCTCAGCTCTTTTTTTTCCTTAACCTTCTCCACTAATGCCATGAAGATGAATAAGCTCTCAATCAGCCTTTGAGTCATTTTCCCCTTGTGCCTATGCTTTCACTTCTGGACCTCCGATTAGTCATTTCTTTCTGGATGTTTTCCTCATGCTGGCCATGCTGAAAGTAAAAATCATTGTCTTCCTCACCAAATCAGCTCTCTCTTTTAAGTTTATCAATTCTGCCAATAGCCTAACCATTCCAGTAAATCTAAGCTAGAAATCTTATAATCACATTTATTTCTCCACCCATGATAGGGTAAGATAGGGGGATTCACCTGGCTTAAAGGGTGCCATGGGTTTGAAATTGGAAAATGGAGTTCAATGCTGAAGATGGTGTCCAAAGCTAGAGAATAGAGCAGGAGAAAGAGCCCAGTGGACAGAGGATTCCCAATATCAGCGGCTAAGAAAGCATATCTGATAGGATCTACCTGAAGTACTCAGAGGCAGAAAAGAAGAGATATAGAGCCAGCATTCCAAGACCTAGGGAAATAAAAATGGAATCCAAGTTGATCTGCTGAAGGGCCTAGAGTAACTGCATAAAAGAAAGACTACTTCCATGATGAGCCTTGTCATGCCATCATACAGCCTAGACTGCAAGATAACTAGTTAGCCAAATTGAAAGGACCATGGACCACATATATTGGCAGAGACTTTTCTTCATGTGTCATAGGTGCTGAAAATGACCCATTTTTCTTTAAAAGATCTGTGATCCATTTTGTATTTAAATTTCAATTATGAACACACTAGTCCATGGTTTCACTTTCTCATCTATATATGTGTTTTAAAGATAAGCTCTTAACTTGCCTTCTGCCTCCAGTCTCCCAGGCAATCCTGTATGCACAGGTGCTGTAAACGCTTTTTACGTCACATTACTCCCCTAGCCAAAAGCTGCTAATGGCACAAAGTTCTTGCCATATCAGGCCTTTATGTATTTATTTTTTGGCTATGGTTCATCTTACATGCTCATTTCCCCCCCTAATTCTTATCATCAAACACTCTCCACTGTTTTTTAAGATGGTCCTCTCAAGGCTCCATGACCATGCCCATGTCATCCCACTTTGCTGGAATGCCTTCTACTCTCCCTTCATACTGAGCACTCTTCTAGTATTTTCCCCCTTCTTTAAAGCTTTCAGTTTTCTTTGCCTCCGCCTATGAATATTTACTGAGCTTTTATTACACTTGTATATTTTAATTACAGACTACTTTGTTTTGTTATTTTTATGACTGTTATTCCTTACTTTGTACACAATTCTTAAATATCAGCCTTCTTTTTCCTCTGTTTTAGTCCCCACTGCTTTTTTTAAAATAACAAAACAAAACAAACATAAACTGGGCAACAGTAGTTAATGACAGAAATTTATTTCTCACCATTCCAGAGGACGGGAAGTCTAAGATCAAAGTGCCTTCAGATTTGGTGCCTGGTGAGGGCCTGCATTCTGTATAACAGAGCAAGTCTTCTCATGTTCTTACATGGCAGAAGGGTCAAGGAGCCTCTATAAAGTCTCTTTAAAAGGGCACTAATCCCATTCTTGAGGGCTTCACTCTGATGACCTAATCACCTTTCAAATGCCCCACCTCCTAATACTGAGAATGAGGATTTCAACAGAGGAAATGCGAGGGGAACAATCATAGCACCTTCCTTGTTGGTGGGGTTTGTATCCCTCTGCCTCCATCACAATGCCCCATACTACCTCTAATAGACTTCGGTTCATTGTAGGGCTTCAGGAAATACATTTTTGTTGTTTAGTTTCCTGAAAAGAGACACTTAATACATGAAGTATAGTGAGAAGAGGGTTTCTGACACATCTTTTATATTAAGACTCATTTTCAATATGGTACCAAATTGCAAATGAGTCTTAATGGGGAGTTCTCTTGTGGTTGGGGCCCATTCTAATTATGTCTTCTCCATAAGAGATGACAATCTACTAACTTAGAGCACTGCAAATATTTCTGAGGATTTCTGTTTAATTCAAGATATCCAAAGGACTTTCCCTCTTTTGTCTCAGATTACTTCTGCTTTCTTCTATTTCTTCAGTATGATTTGAAGTTCTCTCTCTTTTATTAGAATGCTTTTAAATCCCCACCTAACCTATTAGGCAATATTGCCGATTGCCTATCAGGCAATTATCCCTGAGGCCTTGCCATATCACCAAGATGCACTGTGCAAAGTTTAAATGTTATAATCTTGAGGTCTTCTCTTTCAGCTTCCATCATTGACCAAAAGGCACTAGTTAATTGAGACTTTCATGGATCCAATAAATAGAAAAAAATCTCTAGCACAGTAACAATTAGTTGTATAAGCAAAGCAAACCTAGGAGATGACAGCTTTGGAAGTTTCCATTGTGCATATAAACAGTTGGCATAAGCACAGTTGCTTGCAGGAAAAAAAATCTTTATAGGTCACAAATGTTGGACAGATTGGTGGCCTAGGCCAGACAATCTGTTTATCTAAGGCTGACTTACCCTTGGCACTGAGTTTCTGGATCCTGACAGTGAAAGAATAATAGGAGACTCTTAGATCATGGTTTAAGAATAATCTTGGCAAGAGGCATAATCCAATATGGTTTGGTTATAGGAGTATATTTAAAATTTTAAAGTTGGTCCAACACTTAATTTTAAAAAATTATTGTTAAACTAAAGTTTGGATAACTGTCAATTGACCATTACCTTAAACCCAAACTAAAAATCTCAAAAATCCCTAAAATTCCAGAGTTAGAGTTTTGTATTGGCATATGTTTGCATGCTACACTACATTTTATTTTGTGAGACCTAGAAATGCCTTACGTCTTGCCATAGCCAATGCTGAAAAGCCTCAAGGAATATTTTTCTGGAGATATTTCTAGGCATTTTACAAATGTAGGAATTTCATTTTAATTCTTAAGATTTATTGCAATGTTTGATTAGTCTATGCAAACAAAACAAAACTGAGTTAAGTTTTCATTCAATAAAAAGAAAGAGTCTTCTAAAATAAATTAAGATGTTTGGAGATTTTTAGATCTTTTTTTTTTTGTCACCAAGATACTAGTATTTACTGGGTTATAAGTATGGAAATTTAGTATTTAGCTTCCATATATGGAAAAGCATAGAAAATGGCCAGGTACGGTGAAGTTTGACAGAAGCCAAAACAAGAAAATAAGGTAAAAGAGTTCACTAAGTTAACTATACAGCATTTCTACATTGATTCTTCTTTGGTCTCTGCATCTAACTTTTTGAATAATGAGGGGTAGACAAGAGTTCATTGGGCCTCACTACTTTAAGTGAAAGCTAATTTGCTTTCATTCATTTGAGGAGTGTTCTATTAAATGACCAGCATTAATACAAAAATGTTGAAGATACTACACCAAAGCCTGAACTCCAACCTAGCAAAGATGTCATGGAAAATAATTAATCCTGTAAAGGGAATATACATATCTGATTCATATATTTAGCCTATATCCTTTAATTTATAGTAGGTAATAAATAAAGATTTCCTAATGAATAAATGAATAACTCATAGATAAGATGACTTCTAAAATTTCTTCTAACTCTTGTGATACCACGAAAGCAATAGATGATCTATCGATAAACCAAAATAACATAGGCGCCAACAGCAGATACACTTTAAAGTTGTTTCTTGCTGGAGAAAGATAAAAGATTGAATAGCTTCTTTAGGCTCCCTGCCTCAATAAGACTGTTAGATGCATTCAGACCTGCTGAAGTTACCTTACATTAGCAGAGCTATGACCTCACTTCTATCTGGCATAAAACCTCTGATGATCCAGCTTTGAGAATGCCAGGGGCATTGGGTTTTGATTTGAGATCAGGTTATAACCACAAAACCCAGTGTCTGACATTGTGCCACTTGCCATTACACATTTTATCCTTCAATTCCCATAGATCAAATTTTCTTCTGGAATGTTTTCAGAGATTCATTTTTTTAAAAATTTGTCTATTTATAAGTCACTGATGCTGAGGAAAGAAATATGCAGCATTTTAACTACAACCACAACTGTGTGGATTCACAGCATACTCAGTAACCATAAGGATTTTTCTTTTTGCGTTAAAACTTAAATCTTTTCTAGAAGAACTTGCTATTTTTATCTTGGAATGTTTTTGCCATGTTGACTCTTTGAAGATTAACCACAAATGCAAATAGGGCGTGGAATGGATGTTCTATCTTATTCAGTGCTTAGAATGCTTCATGGTGACTGACTTATTGCTACAGGTTTGTTATCCTTTTTTCAACCAGTGTTTGAACTCTTCCTACTCTCACCCATTCATCACCCTGATAGTCTTGTCCAAAGACTCTCAGGTAAATACAATAATCAGTCAAAGCCAGATGGTGCCAGTGGCGAAGCAAGCATTTCCCCCACAGTACTTGCCATAAATAAATAAATAATACAGTTACACTTGACAATTTAATGAGTATAAGTTTACCACAGCAGGACAATCCTCTCCAAATGTTTAAACAATTAAAATATAAAAGGAAAAAATAAATACACATTTTGTAGTGGTGAGCAAGATCAAATTCTTCTTTCATCACTCTTGGAAATCCGCTGCATCACATACCTTAGACTGACAGCAAGACTGAAAGAAATATATGGGTTGCTGCTGGTTCAGATTAAGGAACATAAATCAGGAAGGATGTGGATCCAGGTGGAAATGGATGCCTTAGCTGTAGCATGTGTTTAGCTTATTCTTATAATTACATCTGAACAGAATTTAAGTGTATTCCTTTATTCATTCACTAAATATTTATTGAGTACCTGATATGTACCAGGCACTGTACTAGGTTCCAGGAAATATAAGTCACTAAAAGAGTAATGAAGCCCTCATGGAGTTTACATGCCATTGGTGCCAGCAGATTATAATAAATCTTAATGTATCTCAAGTACATACAAGGGCTAGAGAAAATAAAATGAAAGAGAACAAAAGGGGACAGGTAAGGAGTGTTAGGTGGGGTGATGTTTTGTAGGGTTAATGAGAGATCTTCTCCTTGATAACATTTAAACAGGTGAGTTTGAGTAGAACCCATGAGTAAGGGAGCTACTCATGAGAATATGTTGCAACAAAGTATTTCAGGTAGACAGAACAGTGAGTGCAAAGCTCCCAGGCTATTGCAATAATCCAGGTGAAAAATATTAGCAGCTTGGGCCGGATTTCTGAGTACAGGGTTCCATCAGTAAGATTTTTCAGTGCAAGCCATAGAACCTAAAATGGATTAGGATAATATTAGAGCTCACAATACTAATGGCACAGCTAGAGAACCAGGCTCAAAAATTAGGCAGGAACCAAGTGAGGGTAGATCCAGGAAACACAGCCAAGGCAAAACCAACAACTGCTTAGAACAGGGTCCATAGATACCATAGCCACAGACCCTGGATACCACCATCACTGAGGATAATTTGTAATTGCCATTGCATCTTTATGTCATTCCTTGAAGATTCAAAGTTGCTGAGTCTAGGTATTGAGATGTCTACATTTCAGATCCTTGCAAACGATGAGCCTCTCTGCTTTCTAAGTAGAGGCAGCCTGAAATTTTTATTCATCCTTTATTAGCCATAACTGTAAGATATGGCTAATTATGTCTCTGAGTTCTAAGATTGCAAGAAACAACTTCTATTAGCATTAAAGAGTGTTGAGAGCATATGACATGCAACGTTTAAGCAGTGGCATTAATAACTCATTTCTCAGTTAACCAATTGTATGCTTATTTAACTTCAGATGTATATGCATATATACATATATACATTGTATTTCACACAAACACGCATATATACCCCCAATCCAGAAACTAATCCGTTAAGAATCACTATAAAAAGTTATTTAGATATTTGATTAGATTAATATAGATACAATACCATCATCAAAAACAATGAGTAATAACTAATGTTAAGTGCTTACTATGTGGCAGGCATAGTTATAAGTATTGTAGGTATTTTAACATATTCGATTCTTAAAAATATTTTGGAGTTGTGGTACTTAAGTCTTTAGATCTATAAATGTTTTATTATTTACAAAATGTATCCCCCAAACCTCCAAGGCTTGTTGATAGTCGTATTTACACAAGAATAAACATTAGAGTAAGCTTATACTGGGAAACACTCTTGAACAACTAGGAAAATACTACCTGAGATTAAGTAAAATTATTTAAGAGCACATTCTAGAAGACAGACTTTTAAACTGACACACATATTTCTACTACACTCTACTATGAGCTAATTTAGGGTACAGAGTGTTTCTTTAAAAAAACAAAATTCTATATTTTCAGTACCCAGCATAGTTCTTGGCTCATGGTAGATTATTAATAAATGTTTGTTGAATGAATAAAGAATTTTCATATAATATTAGAGGAAATATTATCTCTAAAATTGATCTTAATGATAAAGCCTAATTGAAAAATAAGATAAATTAGAACCAAAAGGTGGAAAACAGAAAAATAACTTCTAAGTCTTTATTTATAAAAGAACCTGGTTTATTGCGGAATCACATAAACGCTGAGTTAACTTTAGAAAAATCAGCATATGTACATCTAGAAATTGGGAGTATGGTCTTCTTTTACCCCTCAGAAAGAGTAGCACTGACATGGGAAGAAACTCCATCGTAGCCTTTTCGAGTTAAATGGCCTAACCACAGAACCTCCTAACATCTGCAGGAGGAAGGATTAGCTGTAGATCAGTGTTTCAAAAACTGCTCCCCAGGCTTCATCAGGGTTTCAGAGGAGAGAGGAGGGAGCTGACCAGACAGATCTCTGGGCCACCAAACTCTGCTTTGGCTACAACAACACCTTTTTATCTGTTTTACATTCTTGGATTCTAAGAAATATTTCAATCTGGGTCAAAAAGATTCTGTGGTTAAATAAATACAAGATAAAAGAAAAACAGGCCAGGCGCAGTGGCTCATGCCTGTAATTCTAGTACTTTGGGAGGCTGAGGCAGGCGGATCACAAGGTCTGGAGTTTGAGACTAGCTTGGTCAAGATGGTAAAACTCCATCTCTGCTAAAAATACAAAAATTAACTGGGCATGGTGGCGCACACCTGTAGTCCCAGCTACTCAGGAGGCTGACGCAGGAGAATCGCTTGAACCCGATTCTCCTGAAGAGGTTGCAGTGAGCTGAGATTGTAACACTGCACTCCAGCCTGGACACAGAGCAAGACTCCATCTCAGAGAAGAAAAAAAAAAAACAACTAGGTAATTCCTAAACTCTCTTTAGCTCTACTAGTCAATGATAATTATCACCATCAGGTATAAAGACAAAGAAGGTGACAACTTTTCCGAGGTTAAATAAAAATTTAGTAGCTTTTACTGTAGACCCAGTATGTGCAAACATTACATACTGCCTTGTGAAATCTAAAACAGAGGAAATATCAGGAATGAGCCTTTTGGCAGTCTCTAGGGAAACTAGAGTGTGTATGTGTGTGTGTGTGTATGTGTATATCTATGTGTATGTATAATACATGCATAAAGCATATAAATGTACTCTATATAAATGCGTGTGTATGTGTGTATACATATGTGTGTGTGTATATATATACACACACATACACACACATACTTCTATGTGTGTGTATGTGTATGTACACACGTACACGCACACACACGCACATACATACACTATGTGAGAAAAGCGGAATTGCTAAGGAGGTTGCTATAGTGAATGCCATATGGAACCAGATTGGGAATGAGGAAATGTTTAAAATGATTTTATGAAGAAGGTGATTTTTCAACAGAATTTTTGAAGGCAGAATGTGGTTTGATAGAATGGAGAAAAAGCATTTCAGGGCCAGGTGTGTTAGCACTCACCTGTAATCCCAGCACTTTGGAAGGCCAAGGCAGGATAATTGCTTGAGCCCCAGGAGCTTGAGACCAGCCTGGGCAACACAGCAAAACCACATTGTTTTTTTTTAAAAAAAGAAAAAAAAGGAATAAAGCAAGAAAGAGAGAAGGAGACAGAGAGAGAGAAGAGGGGGGGAGGAGAAAGAAAAAAAGAAAGAAAGAAAAAAGAAAAGGACAAAAGGGAATGCATTTCAGGTAGAGAAAATAGTACCAGCTCTATTGTTAGGTGGCAAAAAAAAAAACTCATAAAGAGTGTCCAGAAAACATCATTATTCCTTAATTTCCAAATTTCTTGTACCAATGTGGTCCTGACCTGTTGACCCTTCACTGGAATCCAAAGGAAACTCCCTTAGTTCCACAAAATTTGGAAGAAATTTGGTTTAATCAGAGTAACCCAGACTTGTTGGCTATTCTTGAAATATCATGTAATTACTGGCAATTTAAATGTACAGAGTGAATTGACACTGCAGTGTCTCTGGGTGTCCATCAAGTGAGGGTTCCAGAGCCTTGAGGTGGAAATTGTTTCCCACTCTGTCAATATATAGTTTTGTTAAGAAAACAGCCTAACGGAAAAGCCTGTGAAAACTGGAAGCAAAGGAATGTATGGCCAGATAAGGGGAACAGAAAATGAATTTTCTTCTAGAAAAGGCTCCAGGTGGTTTTACTCATGTCTGATGGGTCTCTCAAAATTCTACCATATCCCACCAAATCAATCTCTTCAATATTGAATACTTGCCTGTCTTATCTGCTTTCTCAACAGCCCAAACTACTCATGCATCTTCTTCACCTTCGACATAATTACCAAAATTTTTAAAGTACAATGGAAAAAAGTGACTTTTTTTCAGCTAAAATATACTTGACCTTGCTTTCCTTATCACTATCCATTCTCTAAACAGAAAAATTATATTCTTTTGGCCCTTCCTAAATTTTATTTTTGAATGAACAGTATTCCAACCTACAAATAAAATGTATTTCCAAAGTTTATTTTCCAAGTTACCAGTTTGAAACTTAGACTATCAGTTCCTAAAAAAATAAATCCAAGAATGTGTTCAAGCTTCCCATCCAGACCCTAAAATGGCATATTCAATTTCTAAGTTATTTAGCTTCACTTCAAAAAGATCTAGCTACCTAATGAGTATGGACCATTCTTTTTCCTTCTTGATTCTCTTAAATATCCTGCAACAGGGACAGATATAATTGGAGATATCTTTCCCTCCCCAGAATTCTAAGGTGAAGCCCATTCCTTCCCAGCTCCATTCCCCAGGAGTTACATTTTTGTGTGTAAGAGATACAAGTTAGATGTTGAGAAGTCATCGATTTCCTGGCTATGTGTTCTTTTATTTTCCTATAAGAAACTCTACTAGCACCTTTCCTCTGTTTATCAGTTTGGGGCTAGATATAATAACATCAGACAAACGTTCATAATAAAGGGGGGCAAGAAAAAATAGCAACAACTAAGCATTATTGTACATATTTATTTAACTAGAGAAGGTAAGAGACAGTGTACACGCAACTATAAATTATATCATTGACAAAGGGGAAGATCTGAAACTCGTCAGGATTCCTGTGGGAGCAGTACCAGAAAATATAAGCTTTAGATGTGAGGAAAAGCTAAATGTTTAACATCAAGCTCAGGAAGCAGAATAATTGGCTAAAAAGATACAGTTGCATATTTTACAGAGACTACTCATCCTTAGCCCAGATAATAAGAAGTTTATAGTGTCAAGGATGGCTATCTTTCTGACTGTACTAAAGTATCTCTCTATAAAATGGTGGCTGTTATTTGCTGAGGCAACCAGCTGGTATCACTTGGGAGAAATCCAAGTCTGTATGGTCTTAGCGCTGTGTGAAATATCTATTAGCTGCCCAATTATGGACTGTGCCAGAAGTGAACAATTTCCATGACTGATCAGTGTGAGCTGGCCAACCTTTGCCTTAGTCCTAACCAAATTTTGCCATCTTATACTACTCACTGGACACTGATATTTGTTAATTCTTGCAGGCTCCATTTATTCTACTCGAATTTAATGAGAACCCATAGTGTGCAAAGCATTCAAGTAGAGCTATACATGGACAAAAAATAAAACATAACTCCTAGCTGAAAGGAGCTCCTGGTATAGCAGAAGAGACAGACATATACATGAATTTGTATAATAAAGTCTGTTGAATGTTGTAGTAGAGGTATGTACTAGACATAAGGAAGGTATAAAGGGGAGGATAATTGTATCAGACTGCAGGATTACAGAGTCTCCAAAAAGAAGAACACAACTCCAACCACATCATGGAAATAAACAGGAAACATGCCATGTAGAACAGGAAAGGAAGGAAGACATTATAGACAAGAGGAACAATGTTTAGAAAGAGAGAAAGGATG